TACAGATTTAACAAATTTAAACTCTTTCTCATGTATAAGACAATGAATATTAATTTAAAAAGCAGATGTTTGTGAGAAGAAGACATCAGCCTTCATTTTTAAAGGTATGTTCAAGATGCAAAAGCTTTACTTTGCTTTTATTTTGCTTATGTTGAAAGTTTTTTTATTAAATTAAATTCCTCTTCATTACCTTTAACAAAAAACCCACAGTAGTTTGAAAGTCACCTTCTGTTGCAGAAAGATTTTTTGAAAATAGATTATATTCTCTGATTTTCTGTATGGGAAATGTGTCCTATTTACATCCAATATCTTTTGGCATGGAGTATTTTTGTTGTTTCAAATCACTCCATTAAAGTATCTTAATATGAACAGCATTGTATGGACTTCAAGATGGGTAAGAAATTGATTAGATGTAAATAGATGTATGAGTGAAAGAATGTCCTATAAGAAATTGGTTTTTTTTCTTGGAGGTATATTTGGGCAGTTGCCAGAGTTAGAAGAAAAATAGTTGATTTTTTGCAGATATTTTAATCAAAACAGAAGACAGAAGTTCTCATTTCAAAATTTTATTTTTGCTATAGCAATGCATGGTATTTACTGAGGATCAGCTTTGCCAGTACTTCAAAAAGTATTCAAGGGGTTAGGGGACTGTGCATGACTGTTTTGAAGGCAAAAGTTAATCCATCTGGAGAGCTTTATATCAATCTATTTTATCAGGATGCATGTCCCACAGATGTGTTCATATAGAGAAACTAACATCAAATGTGTGGTATTTTGGGTTTGGAAACACTGTCTTGGTTTTGGGGTGGGGGGCTAGATGTACTAATTTTGATAATATTCATTCCAATGAAATTATTCAGTGTGGCATTTTTTATTTTTTTTTAAGATAATGTTCAGGTCCTATCAGATTCCTACTCCTTGAATACTGAAGGACAACAAAAAATGAAAAGACAATTATGCTACTCACATGAGTCATGTAAATTGGCAGAGAATCATAATATTAGAGATGAGCCTGGCTTTTGTACCTAGGGACTCTTCTGACTAATTCCTTCTCCCCAGAAATATTTACTGCACTTAAGAAACTGTTCTGTCTGTAACTACGTGGTTCCCTCAGATATAACTTTCCCAAGCTCCCTCCCCAGTGCTTACAATTTGTCAATGTGGTATCATTGATGTTTATGATAGAATTACTACATTGTACAGACTTCTCCCTAGTCAACAAGTCTGATGTTAATTCAAGGTTGCACAACTTTGATTGAAGCTATATTTTAAGGTAGCCAGGATGCCTTTTTTCCTCTCCTTTATTCTGTCATTTTTTCATTTACCCTGCATATCTCTTCTGTGCATTTTTTTTTGTTGTTGTTGGAAGTGCCTGCTACAGACTTTGATTTAGCCCATTCTTCTATCAGCAAGAATGTCTCTCCTCAGTGTTCTCTTTACTTGTCAAAAATTTCAGCTTGTAGAAGAAATTTCTGTCAGAATGGAAAAAAAGCGTCTTGGAACCACCCTCCTTAAAGTAACACATAATGATGGGAGTGATAAAATTACTGTGAGAAAATAAAGGTAGCTAAATACCTATCAAAGGAATCCAAACCAAGCAAACTACAAAGCTCTTAAAAAATGTATGATGCTTCCATTTAAGAAAACAAACAAAACTGAATAAATTAGCTAGGTGATGCTTATGCCAAGTACCATAATTTCTAACCATAGCCTTATTCTCTCCCCTTTCATCCTTTCTTTAGGGACAAGAGCTGGTTTGTTTTACGATTTTTCTAATGCACATAATATGTTGTGGGTACTACTGAAGTCTAAATTATATAGATGTAATTACAAAAATGATTCTTACAGATAGGAAAAATATGCTCACTACATTTTCCAGACTATTTCATTATTATTTTTAATGAAAATCATATCTGATGTTTGTCTCCAGGAAAGAGATAATTGAAGTAACATGCTTGGGGGAGGCTTGTGTTTTCAGCTGAAGTAGCAAGGCTGAAGCTTTAATAATAAGAAATGTTATAAGTCAGGCCCTCTAGTTGTAGGTACCTTGATGCCAAAAGCTTTGCTCTGGAGACTGTCTGCTGAGATTAGGTATTAGGATGAGTCATGGAGAGAAACAGTTGCAAAAATGGATGATAAATCATTCAGGAAATACTGTTTTTAAGTGGATTTAGAATTGGATATGAAGTAAGTGTAGAACATGAATCAACAATGATCCTATTTGTCTCTTACCTAAGTGGATGTTAAGAGTGTATCTTAAACTACTGGGGTTTTTCATATGGACTGTGGAGTTTGTTCCATATTTGAGATGCTTTGGTAAAATAGCATGAGGAGTTAGTAAGGAATAGCTTATTTGGGTGAACATGAGAATGGCTGTGCTTCTGCAGATGATAGATCCATCTAGCCAAGCATCCCCTCACTACAGCAATACCTGGTAGCAGGTGTCTAGGAAGGAGTATTGGCACTCATTGTTTGTGCCTTTCACATGAATTCCTGAGGGAGAAGGAAACAGTAATGTTCTAGCAATGTGAAAATGGGAAGTCAAAATGAGTGGGATGAAGCTTGTTTCATATGTTGGATTTTTTCATCTACTTATCAAATAAGCTATCAAAACAAGAAAATGTTTTCTTCCCTTTTTTTAAGTCAGTGTACTATGTCTGAATGCTGATATCACACACGAGTTTTTACAGGGTATGTATCAGACTCCATGTCTCAGGGATTTATTGTATAATGAAACTGGCACAATGTGAATGTCTTCAATTTGGCTACAGAAAGTAAAGAAAAAATAAGTATAATAAAGATTTGACTGTAACCCAGGAAAAGCACACTTTTCTCTATATATTCTTCAGAAAGACAGTTTACTTCTGTAACTTCCTTGCTACTTTGTTGCTGATATTCAGGACTAAAAAAAAAAAATCTCATGCTAGTATTCAAATGATATGGACAGTAAGTAGGTTGTGATAAGAAGAAGATATTTAACATACTTAAGATTTGACCCCACTGTACATCCAGACTGTGCTTTAATATAGTGTAGATAAGACACCTTTTATTCTAAGCCCACCAAAGGTTAAAAGCTACTGAAAGCTCTGTCTCCGGGTTTCCTTACAGGAATTCCTGTTTACACTAAGAGTAGAAGGAATTGTTGAAACTTATAATCTTTTTTTTTTGTTTTTTGTTTTTTTGGTTTTTTGTAACCAGCAACTGCTTAACTTCCCAGATCTCAGTGCTCAACATCGTTGTGTGAGAAATATTGGTAGCTAGTATTTGGTTGCCTGCATTTCACATTGAAGACAATAAAGCTCTTAATTTATTTATTTTTAACCCAAGAGTGCTGGACACACAAGCAGCCCTTCTGGAAGCTAGTTGGGCTGCAGAACACTACACTTTTCAGATGATAACTTAAGCTTCCACCTTTTAAAGGCTCCACAGAGACATGCACTAGTTTATTCCTTGGTAGTACAAAGAAGGTTTTCTCTGTGTGGTAGAAAGATGTTCACAGTGGGGTTTTACATTGATCCCTAATTAATGAAACAGAAGGGAGATAATTTTGTTGTGTTGTGATTACAGTAAAGCTCTTCTGTAAGGTGTTGGACATGTAATTCTTGTTTCTTCCCTCAAATTCATGTTTTTTAATCAGAAAAGACAATATAGACATGTCAAATTACTCTGAATGTCAGTTCAACAGCTACTATTCGAAATAATTTTAACCTCATTAAAATACAGAAAAATAATGTTTAAAAGAATTGCAATCAATGACTCTTCAGAGATCATTACAATCGCTTTGAACAAGATGAACTGTACAGCACTACTAAAAGTAACTTCAAAGAGTCATTGATTCTGTTAACTTCAGGAATCTGGATTTTATTGTAAGTGTGGAAGCTTGGTCAGAGAGAGTTTAAAAAGAGTTACATGAGCTATCTCTAATTAATGACGATATTTCTCAGTTACTGTAGACAGAGGTCAGCTTTTTCCGTAACCATTTACATGTTGTTCTCACCAAACAAAATAAATTCAGTACATTTCTGAATTGCTTCAATTGTTTTAACTAGTCTCAACTCCTTTAATCAGGGCTTTATTCTGCTCGAGAAACTGTTTTGTGTGACATTACAAATCAATCTTGCTGCCTAAAAATCTAGGAAAAAATGGTCCTAAACTAGGAGTATGGGTATTATCCTGACAGTGGAATAACAGTTTTCCTTTTTAAGTATAACTTACTGCTTTGGAAAACAGTGTATTCTGAGTATTAATGATGGCATTGATAGCAACTCTTCTTGTGGTCTGTAAAGTAGTTTGCACTAAATTTTTCAAGTCTTTGATTCTGAATGCTTTGGATATCTATATAAGGTATATAGGTGTTAGATATATATTAGATATTTAGAATCAACATCAGAGGCTGCTCTTAACAAAGTCTTTCTAAATCATTGGCTTGTAGTACGGTATGATTTCTGCCCAACAATAACTTTTCATTGCAGTAATTTGTAACAGACTGGCAAGAATTAACTTATGTTTGTGGCATGCTCTGAACATGCGACATGAGCGTACGGGGACAATCTTTTTAGTAGGGCCAGCTGTGACAGGACAAGGGGTAATGATTTTAAACTAAAACAGGGTAGGTTTAGACTGGATCTAAGGAAGAAATTCTTTACAATGAGGGTGGTGAAACACTGGAATGGATTGCCCAGAGAGGTAGTGGAGGCCTCATCCTGGGAAATATTCAAGGCCAGGTTGGACGGGGCTCTGAGCAACCTGATCTGGTTAGCGGTGTCCCTGCTCCTGCAGGGGGGTTGGGCTAGGTGAGCTCTAAAGGTCCCTTCCAATCCAAACCTTTCTATGATTCTATGATTCTATGGCATTGTATGAACACTTAACAGCACTATGCAATTCTTGCATGACATGCCTATACTGTAAAAACATCTTTTTCAAATGGATGAATAAACATTGGGGGAGTGTTGTTCTGTTTCTTCCTTACCAGTAATTCCTTTTAATTACTTGTTTTCCAGATAATGGAGGACAGACTTTGGCAGGTGGGAATAACTGGCCTCTGAGAGGAAGAAAATGGACCCTCTGGGAAGGAGGAGTGAGAGGAGTAGGCTTTGTTGCAAGTCCTTTACTGAAACAAAAAGGCATAGAAAGTCATGAACTCATCCATATCTCTGACTGGCTGCCAACGCTGGTGCACCTTGCTGGAGGACATACCAATGGCACTAAGCCTTTGGATGGCTTTGATGTTTGGAAGGCTATCAGGTAACTTGCATGTCAAATCACCGAGTCAGAATTCTGGTATGAGAAGAATTTAATCAGCCCAGAGCTGGAACCAGGTGGGGGGGAATATTACATGTTCCTTTCTGTAAATAAAGGGAAGGTATAAGTGCAGTTAACTTTGCTATCCATGAGATAATTGTCCAGCTTGCAAATTAATCCTGGTCACAAATGCAAAACCCCCATACAGCTTTAACTTGGTATGTTGGGTTTATCAGTGTGGATACAGTGATAGACAAACATGGAATACTTTTTCAAGAACACTCTGTGATCCAGCAGTACATTAACTGATTTTGCACAGCATGGAGTACAAGTTAATAAATTTTATGGACCCAGCCCTGCTCTCTACAGAGGTCAGTTGAGTGTCTCTGCAGCATGTGCCTGGAATGGAACATGTGGGAAGTCTATGCAGACATTAAGCTCACTGAGCATGGATTCCACTTTGATGGTTTGTTAGCTCAGTACAGGACCTGTGAGGCTGGCTCCAAGTGTAACCATTTGAATAGGTCCATATCATGCTGTCCAGTGTCTCAGAAAGCCTGTGTGATTGAGTGCAAAAATAGACCTGACTTGGTTCCTGAGAGGTCATGGTGCTGTGCCTGATTTAAGCAAGCTGGAGCACTTGGGAGCATAGTGCAACATGCTTAGGTAGTTGGGAAGAAAGGGGCAGCTTAGCTCCAGTTAGGTTGGCACTGAGACCGAGCTAATGACTTTTGCTGGGCTCTCTCGGACTCTGTGCACCTCTCATGCTGTCTGGATTGACTGGGATATCCCAAACTCCACTAGTTCAGATAATGGAGAGTCTTCTGTGCATTAAAAGGAAAATCAGTTAAATCCCATACATTTTTCTTCATGAAAAGAATAATAAAAATGATATCACAAATGCTGGATACTGGGGGCTCTGGGTACACCTGAATTTGTCACCTGAATTTGTGCTTATTACTGGTGCGTTGGGCTCAGCAGAGTCAGTAAAAAAAGAATGGAAAAGAATAAATGAAATAGGCATTAACTGGTAAAAGTGATTTTTCACTGGATCAAACAATCAAAAGAAACTCTGGTGTTGCCCCTTTGTGACATCTTCAATCAAGGCTTATATTCAGTCAGTCCTTCAGCTATCAAAGCTTTTCTTTTATTCTAATGTTCTTTTATTCTACTAAAATGGGTTACAAATTCCTTAAAACCTGAGTTTCTGCAGAATTTTAAACTTCTGTGACCAACCCTTAGTTTTGCAAAAATTGCATGGTGACATTGGTTTAAATTCCTTTGTTTCCCCTTCTTCTGTGCTGCACGCAATGTATTCATTGATGGGGCTAAATCCTATTGTCTGTGTTCTTAGAAGTGATATTTATTTTAATTGGTCGTCGAATATAGTTTTAATTCACATAAGAATCATTTAGTATGGCAAGTTTAATACTGCTAAGGCAAAATAAAAGGGCTAGCAATTCTATTTCCTACATGCTGTTCATCTTAGAACTAGTGTTTTGTTTCTTTTGATAGTCTTTGTTCTGGTTTTGTAGCAGTCAGACAATATTATGTGTTTTGTAACCTTTTGTCCCCTTCTCAGGTTTCCCGTCCCAGCTTGCAGGAGAAATGTAGCTATTTTCTGCAATTTTCAACATAGTGCATTATGATAAACACTGATTTTTGTGTGTCTTAGCATCCTAGACTGTGAATTACAGGAGTTAGCTCCTAAACAAACATGAGCAGTGGGTGTTTGTGTTAGTGATTGGGATGAGAAATTGAGAGTTAGAGCAGGCAGAGTTGAACCTATTGACCTGTTCCTGGTTAGCCCTATTACCTTGAAGTAAAAAAAAACCCTGAAATCAAAAAACCAAGACCAAACAAACCCATATCTTGAATTCAGAGTTGTTTTGTTTGTACCTTTAGTAGGACTACCTGTTTTGAAACTGCTAAGTTTAATTTCTTTCTCAGTGCTGCCCCTCTGTCTGAGGAGCAATGGAGTAGTTTTCTGTACTATCTGGAGTTTGCAGAGAGCTTATGGCCTTGTGCCCAGGTGTACTGTATTGCTTTCTTCCAAGTGGAAGAAGATAAGGATATGTATAGTTGAGGTCAGGGACAATTAACTGCGAGGAAGGAATGGAGATTCCTGTCCAGCCAGAGGCGGTAGAATGTTTTACATGCCGATGTTACTGTGGGAAAACAGTATCAGCAAGATCCTTGGGTACTCCTAAACCATAGACTTCCAGCTACCAGCAGAATTCCTGCCTAATTCATGTTCAGTTTCAACTAGGTATTCTTTGTCATGGGCTGATCTTCTCAGATCCGGTTACTTCATTGGAAAATTATATGTGAGGAAGCATAGCTGCAGCTGTGCATCTCCTGTGTGCTACTGGCATTTGAATCTTACCTTGAATGCCATGTTTACTGGCACTGCTAGGGAACAGCTGACGTCCAATATATTCAGTAGTACCAACCGGAGGGCCTCTGTCCAGAGGCGGGAGAGGGGGGAGTCAGGTTTTGTGAACAGTTAGGCTGCTCTTGCAGCCAAAATGTCAAATTTCACATGATTTTCCCATGTAATCAAGAGAAATGAGTGTATTAAATTTCATGATCATAACTCAAAAGGTCGCTTGAATATTGGATGGCAAACAATGAAGGCATAATGCCCTTTTGGTGACATCTAATGGAAAGTTCAGATATGTTGCCCATAATGAGTGAAATTAAATTTTGCTAAGATTCTACCTCATTTGAAAAGAGTAAGTTAATAGCCAATCACTGTGTACATCTGTGATTTTTTCAGCCCATTTTAATATCAGTAGCTGCACATGCTTCTGGTGGGTTTGGTTGGGGTTTTTTTCTAGTGGATTTTAATCCTAAACCTACTGTTTCCTATGTGTGTAATCAGAGGGAAAAAGGTTTGGAATTTGGAACCTTGATTTAGATATTCAAAAGAATATATGGGACAATGCAGATACTCTCAGAAGTCACAAAAACATTGGATACATTCCAGTGTCTGATCTCTGTCTAAAAATGGTCAGTTTTCAACAAATCTGTTCTTAATATGGTATTAATATAATTCTGAAAATGACTGCATATAAATACATAAATGTTTAATATAGATCATTATATAAATAATATAGGAATTAGGTATACATTTTGAAATCCTAAATATAAATTCTGAAATCCTAGACCAAAATGAACTTTCTGTAATGATTTTAAGGTGGTTGGTAGTCCAAATTAGGAATTGCACTAACATGACGCTGACTAATATTAAGTTCTTGTAGTAAATAGAAGTGCTGCAAACCACACGTGTACACAACTGTTCCTTTCATGCCTCCTCTACTTAATTTTGACTTGAAGAACTAGAAGAAAGTTAAGGGTTAGTTGCAAGTGGTATGAAAATTAAAGTTGTTTCTTGTGGACAAAAATACCTTCTTTTGCATTCTTTTTAGCTAGCTATACTTTATGTTGCTTTCACACAATGCATGCAACTGAGGAAATACAAAGTTCTCATTGTTTGAACTTCTTAGGTAAAAATTTGCATGCTACTTAAAATCTCTTTGACAGGGTCTGGGAGCTCAAAAGCTTGTCTGCTCCTCCCAGATATATCTGCTGACCTAGCAGTGTAGGAAATACTGTTGCAACACTGTATCAGTGAGAGACCTAACAGAGGAGGAATGTGATTTTATTTTAAATAGAATTTGAAATAAAACAGGTTTTACTTGCACTCTCACAGTCTGATGCTCTCACTCACCAAAAGGTGTGTGGCTAAGAAGTCTGCCCAGCAGCCAGGCACCAGGGCAGGGGTTTTCAAGCCATCCATCAGCCAGGCACCACGATGCTTGTGACCAGATGTTAGGCCCGGGATCTGTTGCGATGGTGCAGAGGTCCAGGGACGCCAGCTATGAAGTCCTTCTGACGTCTTCTGTGTTCTTCTTAGGTTGGTGACCATGCATAGGTTCTGGTTATGCCTTTTTGTACCCTTTTGGTGCTGCTTCTCTGTCCTGCCCTACTTCTGTGAGTCACCAGGTGCCATCGCTGTTTTGTCTCCCCATGTTCCTGTCCTGTGAAACTGGCCTAGATGTGTTGGGGTCTTGCTGACCTGCTAATCGGGCTGTCATTAACACAGGCCCTTATGAGAGCCCTTTCCCTGCTGTGTATTTGTGTGTGTCTCCACATGCAGATCTTCCCAGCCTTTCTCCATTCATACCAATCTTGAACTTTCTGCTATAGTTTTCTACAGTGAAAGCTGGTAGGTCCCAAAAAATCAATTTTTCCATCCAAAATTTTGTTGCAACATATCTTTAGACCAGTAGTTCCTAAACTTCATTTTCCTCCAAGTACCTTTGGAATTAGATTTAATTTCCCTTTAATGTCCCCAACTTCTTTTTGAGAATAACTTAGGATGCTGTCACTGTACTGACCCATATTTGGCTATCCATCAGACCACTCCAATCTCAGGTATAAACCTTATACATAAATCATAACAGATTGCACTTTTCTAATACCTTAGATTACCATGGGTAATACTACAATGTAGCTGGAACCTCTAAAACCATGCACATATTAGAAATTATATCTAAAAATACAGGATAATATCACTAATTTATTTTACAAAAATAGTAACTGAGGATACCAAGAAAAATTAAGGGTAAACAACACTTATGTGCAACTAGTCAAGGAACCTAAGCCTTACTGCATGTTTCCAAGCGAGTATCTCAAAAGGCAGTTGCATGTCTAAGAAACATCTGTTCCCCAGATGCTTGCTACTCTATTGAAATAGAGACAGGAGGCAAAATAATTTTACTTATGTAGAAATTTGCCCCGTTTCATACATTGTTTTGATATATTTTGGTTTTCAGTACTGTATATCTAGTACAACCATGCTCAGAAAAACAGACTTTCTTTTGCATTAGCAGAAAAATGGAAAACCAAGTAGTAGAGCACATGAAGCAGTATGATAGGCACTGAGAGATTCAGGATAAAATGCAGTCAAAATACTAATATTTCTTCAAAGCTTATTAGCAAGTGTAGGTTTTCAAGTTTTACTCATACATTTTGCAGGGCAAGTTTCAGTTTTAAATTTTTGTAATGTTGGAAATAACAGAATTGATTAGATGAAGTAAAGGAAGCAAGATCAGCTTGAATGCTTGTGTACCAAATGGTTACATTAATTTTAGGAATTAAACACCTGTTTGAAAAAAGTTTTCATTGTTGTGGTATAAGTGAATGCTGAAGAAAGAGCAATATAAAGCTGAGAGTAATGTTTATTTCCAGAGTATCTGAAATATAATTATTTTAGGAAAGTGTGTACAGATAAGACCCAGAGAAATACAATATATGGCAAGGTTATAATGGCTCAGATTTTGCTGAGTGACACTGGGGATGTTTTTGTGCAAGATAAACATATTTACCCTGAAAAACCTTGGATTCCTTCCCAAGGACACCTTCTGCCTGTTTAACAACAACAACAACAAAAGTGAAAGATTGCATGTAGATGTTTGTTCATATTCACTAAGGAGTAATAGATCTTTCTGTATGTATGTTTTAAAAAATTTGCAAAGCAGAAGATAGTGTGATGTTTTCAGCATAAACTAGCTGATTCTCTTACCAACTCTGAAGTTAGTCTGTATGTTTTTGTCAAGATGTTCTTACATAGAGGACTTCTTTTGGAAAACAGTACCTTTTAACCACTTAATTAAACAGTCAGACACGGTAGAATAAGAGACAAAAGAAAAAGTTCCTTATTTTTAGGGAAGGAGCAATATATTAGAATGTTGGAGTCTAAAAATAAATATTCCAAAATTAGAGCATTATAAGATATAGTTACACTGGAATCTACTAAAATACAAAGGCGGGATACCCTAGAGAATCTTACTGCTTTCTTATTCTAGCTCTGTTGTCGGGACTATAGTCCTGATGCAAAATATGCTTGGCAGAACATCTGCCAGAATGAATCTGTTGTTGAGGCTGTGTCTTTTGAGGGGACTACGTTTGGCATGGAGCTCCCTAAATGGGAAGGAGAACAGAATTTAGGCACAGGGAAAGGGAACTCTGCTACAAGTGTAAATTCTCTACTTGTTGTCCTCAGGGTGTTGCTTCTGTCTTCCTGATGTCCTTTTCTGTCAGCCAGCCACTTTCTTCAATGTACGATGCCCTCTTCTTTTCTCTGGGTATTTTTTATGAATAATATATGCTGGTTATAAACCTCCATTTTGTATGCAACAGAATTGCCAGAATAACACCCGAACTGAGCAAGTTCAGTACCAGCTGATAGTGCTACAGAGCTTAATACAGCAATGCCATAAGCTTCAAGGAGTAATATCATGATTATATATAAATCACATTTAAAAATTACTAATAGCAATATTCTACCCCATAAAAAATTGATTCAATAAAAATGACAACTGCAGCATGAAAAACTTAAATGAATGCAGATGTAATATTTATATTTTGTGTTCTGCTTGCTGTACAATAATGTTTGTGGCCATGCTTAGTGAGTGTACAGTATCTACCCTCCAGGTTAAAAGCCATAATGGAAATTACCTTTAATGGTATGATAGTAATACTAGTCTGCTCAAACAGCACGAATATCCTAATTTCTTACTTTCTACCTATCATGGTACTGTATGAATATTGGATATATAAATGGGAGAAACACACAGGAGTAGCTACTTCTTTCTTCTGTGTTTGACCCTGGTGGAAGGCACTAGATTACTTAGCATAACTCTGGTGTTTGCTTTCTTTTACAAGGGTGCTGAAAAAATGTCGAAACACTCAGAGACTGCAAAATGAGAATATCTCCCCACGCAGTTACTGCGGAGTTGTTCACATGCTATAAATTCGTATCCTAGCATAACTCATGCTAACTGGTTCGTGCTACTGTTACCTGTGAATGACGGCAAAAGGCACACTTGACCACAGCTGTAGGTGGAGCACCTAGAGACAGTAAGAGTCTATTCAATCAAAGATAAAATTTGGTTAAATAAGGCCAGGCATTCCTTAGTTAAGTGTGTGACTACTACAGATGTTAGGGTGCGGAGCGGGGGGGAGTTAACCTTTCACACACATTTTGGAAAAAGCATTGTTGCGGAAGTTTTTATGCATGGAATTACTAACACTGTAGCTTAATTACTGTACTTACTTCTGTATTAATTCCAAGGCTGTATTATCTGACAACATTTAATCTTTCATCCAATCCTCCATGTTAATTTTGTGCTATCCAGAATGTGTGGCATCCAGAAATGGTTTTAGAAATGGAGTAGAACAATATTTATTTTGGTTAGTTGTTACTGAAAATTTTGAATTGCAGGTAAATATTGTTTAATTATATATTTTATATATTAAAATAACAGCCATTTTTGAGGTATCCACTACGTTTTGTATTACCTGATTTTTTTATTCTTAATGTCAAGTGGTTTAGGGGTTCAATTTTTGAGTCTGATAATGAAGCTCCTTAAAAAGAAAACAATTTAAGTTATTTGGAAGTTTCTAAAATGATGTGTTTAGGTTCACTGTCAAATGATAAAATATCATTGTGTTGTGATGTAGCCAAGGTTCTTTCTAATTATGTCTTCTTACTCATGTTGCCCTTTATAAGGAATAAATTTCTTTTACTCAGTTTTTTAGGACTGGGATTTACTTAACTCAGAAAATTTATGGGTAAGTTCGGAAGCTCATTCCACCTCATCCCTGTGTAGTCAGTGGCTAGAAAAAGAGAGAGTTGGGGGGGGGGTTCCCCACAAGGAAGTTCATGTTATCTAAAGAACCCTTGTGACCTCAATTACAAATCGAAGCTGGGTTTTTTGAGAGGTAGCCAATGCCTCTAGTGTTTCCTGAGGCACCCAGCCAAAATGCTTTCGGCACTCATTCAGGTATGCGGAGAGCGTAGCAAGTGTCATGTCAGCTTACACTGCAAAATTTGATTTTTAAAGTTGACTATTGTAAAACCCTGCTTTGGTAGAGCCAGTTCTGTCCTCTGTGAACTTGTGAACAATCCCAGTAAACACCAATGAAGTCAGGGAAGACTGATGGTGCAAAAGCTGTTGCTACTAGGCTGAGAGCATTCAGATTAAAGTTGATAGCAGTTTATGGTTATGAGCTCATTCTGTACTAGGATGACAAAAAGCCTTAAAATGTAACATGCAGAATCCTAGTGAGCTGTAGAAGGAAATTAATATTTCCTTTTGAAATCTCTCCTAGTGAAGGAAGACCTTCCCCCAGAGTGGAACTGCTGCATAACATAGACCCCATGTTTGTGGATGACTTCCCATGTGAGTATGCCACTGATTTTTCAAGAGTTATTAAACATACGCTTTATCTTCTGAACACCACTTATTTTTCTTAAGTGAAGTATTTTCTGCCAAGTGAAACAAAATCGTGTAGGATACCTTCTGCTTCTAAATAAATAGCTTTAAAATACAGAAACGTCATCCCCCACGTGCTGTCATTACTTAGTAAATCATGACCAATGCGTACTTCCTTATTTCAGAGAGCTCTGAAGCTCTGCTGAGTAATGAATAAAATACTCTGGAACATGGAAACGAGGAGCAGCCATGTGCCTGAGGTGCACAGGGAGGCACATTGCCAAAAAACCCTAGCAAATCCTGTCTTCAGGTTGGCAGGTAGCTCTCATTGAAATGCTTGCCCTAGCACATCTTGATACATCTGTGTAATATGACCTTGCAAATAGAAAACTTGAGTTTTTGAGAAGCTGAGAAGTTCCAAGCCTTGTGATTGCTTTTGTTCCATAATCATACGTGTTGGATCTTTAATGCCATAATCACATGAATTGGAGTTTAAGATTGGCAATTCTGTAGCTCTTTAAGCACCGTCTGTTTTATGATTCAGCATCATGAGTTTACTAAGGACTACAAACTTTTCAAGCAGTGATTTTTTCACGCAAAACATTGGAACGGGTCCTTTCCAGTGTTTTTATAGCATTTCTGTATTTCATGAAATAAAGAAGTAAATCCAGGCAGAGAAAAAGTAGTGCAGTGGGGACAGTGATCCTTTGCCTGCAAGCCGGATACACGTTGTGCTGGAGTAACTGGATGGAAAGAGGTAAGGTGGCCTTCTGCAATGCGCATCTGTTTCTGTGATGCTTTTCTCAGAAGGAGCAACACTGTGCCTATCTAGTGCCGGCTGGACAGCACTGCCTGCAGATAATTCCTACATACTGACAGAATTAAGACGCAGCTACTCCAATTTCCCTTCAAAGGATGCTCAGTGATGCTCGTAGCATTCCTGTACAATGTTATGCCCTGATGTGGTATCCTCAGGCATACTTCAGAGACCATCTTTTCCTTGGGGGAACTGACATGATTGAGCTCAGTGGAGCTGTTTGAGTGGACAGGTTCCTGGTGTAAATAGTAGGGGGACGAGCAGATGAGGTTTTCAGGAGTGTAAGCTCAGGAAATACTTTCCCGTATTGTTTCCATGACACCGTACTCTGATGATACTTCACTGTTTGCTACATACAACGTCTCCTTACTTTTTGTGTGTGTTGCATGAGATGGTGGGCAAGGAGCGGGGCAGGTGGGCAGAAGCTGTAGTAAGTGGAACTTTTATGCTGGATGAGATGCAACTTTAAAGCATCACGAACAGAGGAAGTGGTATGCATGCCTGTAAACTTACAATGTGTCTATGTACCTTTAAAAACTGGAGTCTTTAAAAACAAAAAATGTAACTCTCCACTGGCATGTCCTTATATGCCATATAGGGTTTCCCCATCTCTTCTCAGAAAAGACTTATAATTTGGCAAGTTACTTTGTGCCACCTGTTTTACTTTCTCCCTTAATAGCACTTTTGGTCAGGAAGAGGTAGAGTTAACCTCCAAATTAGTATACGTTACATTTTTCCTAGTTTTGATTTTATTATACCATTCTTAAAGGATTTGAGAGTACGTGATTGTGTTTCTGATAGGTTTGACAAGATGTATCAGTTATACATGACAAAGTATACATTAAACTGTACTTTTTCAGATCACTGTTCTTTTAATTAATGTACTGTTTCTAATGCAACAGAGCATGTGAATTTGTAGACCACTCTTGGGGTCAAGAAATCCAACTTTCTTTGTACTTCATCTATTGTCATAGTGTGCTTGATTTCTTATAAGTTAACTGGAAGTTGGAATGGTTTTGTGCTTTGCAAGATGAGTCATTGTATTATTTATGATTCTGTTTTTGACCCAGCTAGTGAAATTGTGCTTTGTCACATAAGGATTAAAATGTCTATTTAGCAATCTGAGTTATTAACTCTATATGTATGTAACTCAGCTGATTTTTGCTAAGTGTCTGTTTTTCACTTGTGCAAACTGAGTGATAATTTTAGATTTAAGGTCCAGATAAACAATATTGGTGTCTCTACTGGGGATAGATTAGGGAGACACAAAGCTTGGAATATATAGGTACTTTCAAATTTTCAGCAATCATGGCTCTCTTCATGGTTTTTTTTGAAAAAAGCATCTTAAAATAAACTGCCCATACAATTTTGCAAGGTGATTAAACTGTGTGTCACTCTGGAGTCTTGCTCTTCCCTGGACTGTTTATTGTTTCCTTGTCCTTACTGGTTTGAGATCAGACTACTCTTTTGCCTACAGTGCTAAAATATATGCATGTATGTTTTTCTGGGTTCTTTCTTACCTCCTGTATTGTCTTTGGCCCTCTTTATGCCCATCTTGCCCTTGTCCTAGCCCACGTAAAAAATAATATCACCTATCACCATAGTCCATAAAAAATCATCATCATGTGTCAGATGAAGTATTCCTATTCTACCAATACTTTATTTTTTGGTAGTAATTTAATTAGAAAGTAAAATATTGACTGGATGATACAGATTAGCCAAATCTTTGGGTTTGCAGAGTACTGTGGAAAAGCAAAGAGGAAGTTAAATCTCAAGATACTGTTAAACACAACCAAAAAAACCTTTCCAGATGCTGTGGATAATCATGCGAGTTCTGATCATAGTACTATTAAGGAAGGCACTGTACTGTTGTAGTTGTGTGCACATAGGGCATTATGTTATTGTTGTAATTGCACTCAGTGCAGGTTCAGTGCTCCTGAGCTCTTGAGTGCTTCTGCGTATAATGTATACATACTTTCAGCCTAATATTTGTATTTAATGGATGCATTTATCTTCATCTCTGTCTGAATAAACTGATACCTATATATTTTTAGTGCCATGAATGATGGGCTATCTCATGCGATTCCTTGATTATTTTTATTTTTTTTTGACTGAAATAGGAAAACTGAGCTTTGTTCTGTCCAGTTTTTTTATGCCAAAATAAGCATTCCTTTAGGGAAGAATTTGTGCAAAAGACGTAATTCATGTAGCGTCAACTCAACTGTTCAGCCAAGTACTCAGCAGAATGTTAGGTTAAAGGTAGGACACGCTATCTCGGTTACAGAGATAACTATGTCTTTGCTGCTGTGGTCTGCTAGAACTGACCTTGACCTGCATGTTTACCACTTGTGGGGTAACATCATACAACTTTTCAAGTTCTCAGACTGAGCACTAACTTTCTAACTTCTGGGCGTCAGCTGGGGTTACTCCAGCAGATCTGATGAATCTACTGATCAACATCTGCTTACCTTGGCTCAGGAGCTCAGATCCAGTGGTAAATACTGTAGCCCTACAGTAGTCTTGTATCAAAGTACTGTACTTCTCTCCTATTGTTAACACTAAACAGCATAAGAGGGAAAACACTATAAACTAGTTTCATTTGACAAAAAATGCTGACAGGTCTTACTTCACTGGCTCCTTCAAGTAACGGTAATCATCTTCTCTCTCAGAGGGCAGACTTTCTTCTTTCAAGTATAAACCTTTCCAGTGGTCTGAAACATACTGCAGTGTTTTACATTGTAATTCTTCATTTGTCATCTTCAGTGCTAATAAAGGGGTTCCTGTCCCTGACTGCAGAGTTTGCCCGCAGGCTCCTTCTGACCTGTGGCAGCCCAGTGGAGTGGATGGGGTTAAAAATAATCTTTTCTCTTAGTGAACTGGTCTGGTTTGTAACGCAGACCTACAACAATTATAGTAGTGTAATGGAGGAGGCAGGAGGTGGTGGCATGACAAACTAGGGTGGGGTCTCCAAAAACTAGGATAAGGAGGGGAGTGGGTTGTGGTCTTTGTAGCGAAGCCAGCCTGGTGGTGAGCTATTGCCAAGTTGGCCAGCCTGTCCTCTCCCTTTCTCCCATCCTTTCCTTGTGCTGGATCTGGAAATCACATGGCAACAAAATGAATGTTCTGCCAGATAAGCCTTAAGACGGTCCTGGGTGGCGGGGGGAAAGAGGAGGAAAGCCAGCTGAATCAACTCGCCGTGTAGCCTTATGACTGGAAGCGGGGAAAAGCGTGTGGTTGGTGGCAGATGGAGGGACTGGCCGCAGGACCGGCAACTAGATCAGCTCAGGCCACCAGGGAACCTCAGCCAGAGGCAGCAGTTTCATGGAGTTTAAGCTGGTGTAGGTCGCTTCTGCTACCAAAGAGGAAATCCTGCCACCCACAGTGCCTCACCAACGCTCCCCTCTTTTGCGGGTCACCAAAACCACTCTCAGATTCAGGCTGTGAACCAGGTCAGGATACTGGTTCAGATTTTAATAACCCTTTTTTGTTTGTTTTCTTTTTTTTTTTTTCTTTGGATGTGTCTTGGATATATAGCCAAGCGCTCATTTTGGCACAAATGATGGGACTAGAAGAAATTTTGAGGGACAAGTGAAACTGATTGTCTTGGCTCTGAAATTTAACCCTGAGGTTTCCATTTCATAAAACATGATGAAGGGATCCAGCAGGTTTCTGCTGGGGATGTGCTTTGCTTCTTCCCCGTCCCCATTCCCAGCCATGCGCTCCTGATACTTATTTTGCATCCATTCTGGCACTCCTCAGATACCGATCCAACTTGCTAGCCTGGTTTTCCTCTGTCGGGTAGGTTGAATCTGCTCATTGAAGGGGCTGATGGATGCCATCGGCATCCTTGCGGGGCCAAAGAGGGTTGTGAGGCTGGAAGAGGGGAGGCAGAGGGAGAGCCAATCCTCTAAGCGCTGTCTGGCTGCTCTGGGAGCCAGAGCCCCAGGGTGAAGGAGTAGGGAACCACACCTAATGGTTGGACTTCACTGTGCTGAACCAGTCTGGTGAGCTCTGCAGGTGGAGCTGGACCCAGGCTCCTCAGAGGTGGTTGGTTGCTCCTCTCCTTCCTTGCTAAAAGCCATCGCTTTTGTCTTTCTGGTTGTTTCTTCATCACCCTGTTTGTTTCCAAAAGTCATGAATGTATGTCTCA